CACCTGCTTGGTATAATTGGTTAATCATACACCTGTCTCTAATCCTACAAGATCCCTGACTTTGTGCAAGTGTATAGGGTGTAGAAGTGTAAGAATTGATGCTGGTTTGAAGCCAAAGGGTTCAAACCCAGACTTCACCCTCTCTCCTAGTATTCCAGATAGCTCTTAAAACCTGGCTTTGGTCCCAGGCCTGGGGTTAATATGTCATTGAATTTGTATGTGTGGGGGGGGAGGGCTTACTGTTTTGTTTGATTTGTGTTGCATTTAAGATCATTTTAGTCTGGGCTGTCTGTGTGGTTTTATGTCTTATCTGTTTTTATAGAGTTTTTGATTCTATATGCTGCCCAGAATCCATTGGAGTTGAGTGGCTACAACAAATTTGAATGAATGAATGCATGAATGAACAAATAAATAAATGTGAAGATTTTTCTGGATGAAAAAAGAATAATATAATATTTAAATAACAACCGGTGGGTTCTTTTTCACTGGAGGTCTTCAAGAAAGACCACATAATCATCTGACAGAGGTGCTTTACTAGATCCTGCATTAAGTGATGGGTGGATTAGATGACTTCTGAAGTAATTTTCAGCTCTATGATTCTATGATCTTAAGCTGCCTACCATGGGTTTGTAGTACAAAGGTCCTTGTGGTGCAAACAAATTTGCAAGTGCATATTTTAGGATGTTTTCCTACCTCTAATAGATACTAATGTGTTTACCAGTTGGCCTATTACTTCAGGCATGGAGCTTCCCTTGGCCAGAACTACATAAAACCAACCTTGGATGGTCTACATTAACAGTCCAATAGAAAGGAAGATTCCTTCAAATTCTGAAGTTTTCAGGCCCACACACATTGCCATAAATAATTTATGCTGCCAAATTACAGGCTTCATATATAAAAGCAATACATTAACATTTTGTCGTTGGTCATATAATTTATGATATATATAATCAAGAGCAATCTGAACCATTTTCAACTTTGTGTGATTTTCTCCCAACCACTGGGATAGCAGGAGTCTCAATTATTTTTTGGCATATATGGAATTTTTAGAACATGTCACAGGCCCTTTTACACAATGGTTATCATGGAGGTTATGGCCAATAAATCAGCACTCACCTACCAGTAGGCAAATTGTTAAAATTGCCTCTCATTACCTCCTCTAGCTTTCCAATATGCTGCTTATTGCCCTAGCAAACCTTTCTTATGGACAGGAAGACACTTGTCTTATGATAGGAGCTGTAAGCTGCCGAGAGTCTCTGACTGAAATAGCATGCAAATTTTGTAAAACAAGCAAATCAATCCTTTGAAACAAAGCCCTGGAATATGGCTGCCTTTCATTTTCTAAGGATACTTTTGGAAGTCTACACAGAACCTAGCAGCATTATTGGAAGAAAACATAATGCTTGAGTCTGGTGCTTTCCTTTGCAACATGCTAGCTACCCATTTTCTAAAGCAAAATAATTTAAGTAAAATAAAAACATTTGAGGCATGGAAGCAAGTGAACAGCAAAGGGGATGTGATTGAGCTCATTCTGGCAACCATGTTTGGAATCCTGATGCTACAGTATCCAATAAGATAGCAAGTGTGGAACAAGCTTGAGTGTCACAAAGCATTGTGTTTAAATCCCCATTTGCTGACACTAGAATTAGAACTGTGCATTCTTTTTGCTTAGCCTAATCAATGTCACAAAACTCCTGACCAAAGAAGCAACATTTATACGGCCCTCAGTGTTTAGAGAAGGAATGGAACAGAATGCAGTTACACTGTTGTCCTATTTTTAAGCATGTGTGCAGATTAAATGATGCCTTAAAAAGTCAAACTATGTTTACGGACAGCTCAGATTAATCTCTAAACATTGTTCTTTCAGTGCACAAATGACTTAAAGATGATACAGTACAGGTAATACTTATCATTTCATGTCTAAAAATGCTGTATTTGCCAGCGAACTTGCAAATTAATTTTCAAAAAGCTTGAAGAAAATGTACCACATATTTTTCACTCACCTGTAATCTATTATCATTATTTATATCTCACCTTTCAAGATAACAGTCCTCCCAAAGGAACTGACAAGCTACATAAACTATTGTTGGTAAAACAAATATTATTTTAAAACAAAGTGAAAATATTTCTAGGATCCTTACCATGGTGGGGGTAACTGGGCAGGAAGAAAAACTTCTACCTGAGAAAGATTCTGGGATGAGCTCTGGACATGCTCTTTTCATGCTAATGGTCTAATGTAGCAAGTGGTAACTTTTGAGACTCCTTATGGAATGGGTATAACATGACTTTTCAAAAAATTTCATATAGGTAAAAGGAAGACACTTTACAATAAAAAAGCAATAAAATTAAGACATTATTTGCAGAACAGTGACATCTATAGGCAGTTAGTTATAATCTCATTCTGAAAAACCGTGTTTCCTCTGACCAAGTATATAGTGAGACAGTGCAAACTGTGAAATGCAGTATGTAATGTACTTTTTAGTAAAATCCCAAGGCCAAAAATTGACATTAGATGCTAGATGGTCGTCCCAAGGAGTTTGATATCCACTGATTTTTTGAACATATGATGAGTATCCAAACCCAAGTTGCTATTCTTGTTAATTCCTAAAATGTAGAGCAATTAGAGGAGTGTGCAAATGATCTCTATTTCATGAATAATCTCAGATATCATTGTGTTCAGTGGACCCTGGGGAAGCCAAAGTGAACACTAAACTGTTCTTGGCATTGATGATCTAGATTTTTTGAACAAGGATGAAAACAAATGATCACAGGAGATGAAGGTCTAGGAAATTGATTGAATTTGCAACATCCTATTTTTTAAAATGTTGACATAATTTCTATCCAGATTTTGAATAGAACTTAACTATCAGCACCCTCAGAAGATAATTTGCTTGATGGTTGATGTTCATTATTTGTTTAATGGCCCCTGTTTTGTTTTGTTGATTTTATTGTTTATTAGATGAGCGGAGTCCTTGGGGTTTTCAGAGCTTGGTTGTTTTCTTCAAATGTTTTGTTACCTAACTAGGTAACATCTTCAGTGCTAGAATGGAGTGGGGTTTGCTCTCTGTTTATATACAGTGGTTTGCCCTGCCTGTCTTTATTAGATCACTTTAGTCTGGACTGTTTTATTTGATGTTTTTAGCTGTTTTTATGTTTTTTCTAGTCTTGCATACCACCCAGAGTCCCCTGGAGCCAATATTGGGCAGCCAATAAATCTAAATACATACATACATACATACATACATACATACATACATACATACATACTAGTGGTAGATGTTGTAGAGCAGCACAGAGCTAACCTTGGAGAAGGAATGGAAGAATGGTTAGGTAAATATCCACCAAGCCCTGGGAAAGAAAATGAGGTGGGAAAGAACGTTAAGACACCTCCATCTTGATTCTTTTAGGTATAAGAGAGGCAGAAGGAAACTCAGTCAGGCTTTCAAGATTCTGATATTGTACCCTACAACAATAGAGTTCCAGTAGTCCTTGTGATGTGTTTCCTGACTTGGTCTACCTCAAAAGGCTGACAGATGTTAAATAGCTGTAATGAATTGGAAAAAAAAAAATACTTCAACAATTAACTTATATAACACAATCTTGTAAACATCCCCCTCCCCACATATACCTAGACATAATTCAATTTACAGTGACATAGCCCACTGTCTTTATTAACAGATGAAAATTTCAAAACAAATTATTTGCAGACATCCATCCATGTCTATGCTTGTCTCCATGATACAGAATTAGGAATGCCCAACCCATTTTGTCGAATAAGTATTAGTTCATTTCAAGCTTCTGAACAAGTTCCATGGGGCACTCTAGATTGGCGGAATTAGGAAGATTCCCTCTGCTGTTGTTAGCTTGTTCGTGTTTGGCATGACAACCAATTTGTTCTCCTGAGCATTTCTGTGAGCAATGAAAAATTAGGCAAAAGATGTTTTGAGGGATAAGAGTTTTCCAGATATAGTGAATCAAGCATTGAAGTGTGCTGAATTTGGGAATTTGTTGTTCAGTCGTTAAGTCGTGTCTGACTCTTTGTGACTCCATGAACCATATCATGCCAGGCCTTCCTGTCCTTCACTGCCCCCCTGAATTTGCTCAGTTTCACGCTCATTGCTTCAGTGATGCT